TATATGTGATCCAATATTTACAGGCTTCTGCCCGCATGCATATTTTTCTATATTATTTAAGATGTGGCCTCTAATAAATGATTTTTTCGTTAATACTGTGTCATTTGTCATTTGTTGCAATGTATTATGTTTATCTAATGTGAAGTTATATGCTGACTACTCTCTGCTTGTTTCCCAATATACTCCAATGTCCTCTCATATGAGGAATTTTGGGATGAAAGTGTTTTTGTTCATTCGCTTATGCATATGTGTACTGATATTTTGCATTGTTCAATATTTAAACATTTTCAAACGGTTTTGGCCTGTGAAAAAAACGGCAGGCATGTATGGTCAGCATGAATGACTGAGTCCATACCAGCTTGGTTACTACGGGATCAGAATGTAAATGACTTCTGTCTCAATGCAAGCTAAAATTTCAATATAAAAAAGAGTGTGTCGCCAACATTTTTCCCTATCAAAATGCAATGAAATTAATAAATTTTAGCTTTTTTTGTAGGTTATAAAAAGAAAACATATTTTTTTTCTATTTTTTGGATAATGAAACAGTTACTATAGAAGCAGATACATTTCTACGAAAGAATGGCGTTTCATAAATAATTCCAGAATATGAAAGGTTCACAGACCTTAATTTCTTGAAAAATTAAGAAAATATAAATTTGTCCATTAAATTCAATATAATTATCTCCCCTTTAATTTGAAAAGATTTTTCTAAAAAATTAAATACATGTATAAAAATTCATTAAAAATTATTATGCTTTCAACTGTTTCATGTTTTTAACAGTTTCATAATCTTTCTTTAGAATTTGCTGTCATCAAGTGAAAAATTTATAAAAACCACCAAAATCCATAACTATGACTGAAAGATGAATAAAATTCATGGACTCGAATTCATTTGCCGACGACAATTCTTTTTTATATTTTGTAAATAAAGCTATAGCAATAGTAAATAGACCAAAATTAAAAGAAATAAATATCCTCGATATTTCTGGGAAGACTTTGAAATCCTGAATTTTTTGAAAAATTTCCAAAAATTGAAATTTGACCTTTTGGTGACCTTTCTGCACTTAAAAGGAAATTTGAGAGGTCAGCAATAGCATAATCATTAGTATCATATTGGTTCATATAATTGATAAAACCATACTAGAATGCCTACAAAATATTCATTTAATGGATATCAAAGGCCTATTTTATCAAAAATAGCATGCTTTTAACTTTTTATCTTGATAGAAATTCTATTTTTAGTAACAGCCCTTTATAAGGTAAATTCTTGAACTTTACGGAATTTTTTTTCTGAAATCATTTCATGACTAGACGTTCCTTGTAACAGAATATGAAGATGATCTTGTAACCTTGGTTCTGGATGACTTTGCATAGATTTATTTGAAACAGGCACTTAATTGTAATGGAATCCAACGGATTATGTCCCATAAGTTCACAATCTAGTATGATGTTGTAGCATTTACCAAGAAACAACTCCTTAGAGATCCTTAGAGAATAATTACAATTTGTTTGTATATTAGAAAAAAATCAGCATCAATGTATGTAGTTACCATGGATACTTGTGGTACACTGTAGAAGGAAAATGCATAAAAACATGTTTCATTGAGTGTGATCCAATAATATAGAAAAGATCAACCTACAGTTGAAGACTTTACTGTATGCATGCTAAATGACCAATGAAATATGTAAAAGGTTATATTATCTTATTGTTGTAATATGAGTGCAGTAATGCGACTGATATCCACAAATATTTTCATAAATCAATGGACGTTTCATATTATTAACAGTAAATTTCACCGGATTTTGTTGTGTATAATTTCTAAAAATTTCAATTACTTTTCAGTAAAATGACAAACCACTTATTCATAGCCCAATCACTTTCGATGTTAAATTCTTCATTTTTTGTTTATGGGATTTGTCTTACGAGTCTTTATATACATGATATATGTCTTTTTGTTTTTGATTAAGATTATAACACAATACTGCCTGCTGTACCCTAATTTCTGACATTTTTACCTATTAGAGATAAATAAGAAGATGTTGTAAGAGTGCCAATGATACAACTTTTCATCAAAGTCACAATGTATCAAAAGTAAACACTTATAGGTCAGAGTACGGCCTTCAACGCAGAGCCTTGGCTCACACCTAACAGCAAGCTATAAAGGGCCCCAAATTGAGTATCTATCAGTGATTGCGAGTACTTGCAGATCTGTACTTAGTGTCTTTTTATTGTTGGGATGTACAAGCACCCGGTCACGTCCACTCTGTGTTTGTGTTAGATGTATTTCTATTTGTATTCATCAGATGAGTTAAGCCTTTTTCATTTGATTTTATAGTTTGTTCTTATGGTGTACTGTTACGCCACTGTCCCAGGTTAGGGGAGGGTTGGGCTCCCGCTTACATGTTTAACTCCGCCACATTATGTATGTGTTTGCCTGTCCCAAGTCAGGAGCATGTACTTCAGAGGTTGTTGTAAGCTGTGTTACATATTTGTTTTTCGTTCATTTATTGTTCACTAATTAGGCCGTTAGTTTTCTCGTTTGAATTGTTTTACATTGTCGTTTCGGGGCCCTTTATAGCTGACTATGAGGTATTGGCGTTGCTAGTTGTTGAAGGCCGTACACTGACCTATAGGTTGCACTTTGTAAATACAGCTGTTTCTCAAACCACGCTTTATTTGGAGAGATATATAATATTCTTAGATATCTTGATTTGTTGACATACTGTTGCCCAGATATGATCTCTATGTTTCAACTCAAAAAGATATACTTTGGGACTGTTACCAGTATAAAAACATACTATTGCGGTGAAAAATGAATTCTGAAGTAGGCAAAAAGTAAAGGTAGGGGTAGTACATAATTTTAGTATAAGTTTAAACTCTAACAAGTTCAGGGCATATAAATGTTGAAAATATGCCGCACAGTCCTATGCTTTGACCTTTGAATAAAATAGTAGAGCATATCAACTTTCCGTTCTATGATATAATTTTTCATGAAATTTCATAGTAAAAGTGTCACAGTTTTAGCCGCAAAGGGAGTTCCTATGGGAAATTGCATTGTCTATATTTACAGAAATGCAACCAATATTTTGGTAAAAAAGAGAACATACGGAATTTCACAATATCTGGTTTATCTCAGAGATTTTAAAGAAATTAACTCAAATATGAAGTTTTATAAATATTTCCTGAAGATTGAGAAAATCCTGCGCCTTAACTATGATGACTCAGCATAAATTCACAGTTTACAGTATGCATAGTTTACTTAAAGCCCTGAATTCAAATAAATTCATAATATATGCATATTTGTAATTTAAATTGTTCAGAAGTGCTTATATTTACTCTTCGCAGTCATTGAAACTCATTGATCCTTCCTAAATATTATTGGTGGGCTGTTTTTGTCCTGTCGATAACCTTAAAGTAAACCGTTACACCTAAATGTGCTTTTGTGTAACCGCGGCATAAAAAAAAATACAAGCTATATATACAAAAATACCTCAATAAAACTTACAATAGTTGTTTTCCTTTCATTTTGGTGTTTTTGAGCTTTTGATTTCGCCGTTTGATAAGAGACTTTACGATCTGAGTTTTCCTTGCAGTTGGATACTTTTGTTATTTTACTTTTCGCTATTAACCATTTTACGAATTTGCATAATACTAAGGACTTTTTACCCCAGAAAAAAATTTCCTTTGCTGTATTTCGCAAAACATTTTGGAATTTTGAGTCTCCAATACTCTTCAACTTCTTACATAATTTAGCTTTTAGTTTAAAATTTTTTTCTTCGAGCGTCACTGATGAGTCTGACGTAGTCTAAACAAACGTCTGGCGTACACTATTTTAATCTTGTTATCTATGATGAGTTTATCTATGTTTATATATATATATATATATCTTAATTTCTGTATTTCTTTATTCTTGTATCAATGCGATAAAGGTAATTACATTGTACATTTGTCGATAGTCATATGTATACATATATATATATATATATATAAGTACGTCTGAACCAGTGACGACTCTACAACAGATTTGATCCATCCTTATGTATCATGTACTGTGTTACGACGCTAGAATAAAACTGACGAGGAAAGGTAACACCCGGCCACCGAAAGCTTTATTCTTGTAAAGCCTAGGTGGTCAAGTGGTCTAACGCGACGGGCATAGTGCAAGGCGAGTTGGTGTCACGATATCTCAGTAGCATGAGTTTGAATCCCGGCGAAGGAAGAACAAAAAATTTGCGAAAGCAAATTTACAGATCTAAGATTGTTGGGCTGATGTTTAGACGACGAATTATATATACAGATGTATTTTCTGCCTTGTATCAAAATCACTGTTGGTGATCCGATGGATCAAATCTGTTTTAGAGTCGTCACTGGTTCAGACGTACTTATAATATAATTATTTCTGTGACTGCATCTTACATTAATTTGTAGGATCCTTTACAATAGATAATTCAGCTGATCTGTAACAATTCCATCTTCATGCCTTATGTATCATGTACTGTGTTACGACGCTAGATTAAAACGTAAGTGGAAAGGTAACATCCGACCACCGAAAGCTTTATTTTTGTGAAGCCTAGGTGGTCGAGTGGTCTAGCGCGTCTGCCATAGTGCAAGGCGATTTGGTGCCACGAAATCTCAGTAGCACATGAGTTCGAATCCCGGCCAGGGAAGAACAAAAAAAATTGCGTCCGCAAATTTACAGATCTAACATTGTTGGGCTGTTGTTAAGATAAATTATATATATATATATAGTCTATTTCTCAATTTTGCGTCTTCCACTTATCTGATATATGTTTTTTCTTACATTTTCTACTGTACCCAGTGGATTGAGTGACTTCAAATAAAGTTCTTTTTTTCCTCAAATCAAGCTCTTTTTTATTTCATGTATTTACATCATTTTTCTGTATTTCATGTATTTACATCATTCTTCTGTATTTCATGCATTTACATCATTCTTCTGTATTTCATGTATTTACATCATTCTTCTGTATTGATTGTATCATTAGTGTCCTCTTGGTTGTGTGTTATTTTCACTGTTTGCGTCTGTTAGTTGTGTGTCATTTTCACTGTTTGCATCTGTTGGTTGTGTGTCATTTTCACTGTTTGCATCTGTTGGTTGTGTGTCCTTTTCACTAATTGCATCTGTTGGTTGCGTGTCATTTTCACTTTTTGCATCTGTTGGTTGTGTGTCATTTTTACTGTTTGCATCTGTTGGTTGTGTGTCCTTTTCGCTGTTTGCATCTGTTGGTTGTGTGTCATTTTCACTTTTTGCATCTGTTGGTTGTGTGTCATTTTCACTGTTTGCATCTGTTGGTTGTGTGTCATTTTCACTGTTTGCATCTGTTGGTTGTGTGTCATTTTCACTTTTTGCATCTGTTGGTTGTGTGTCATTTTCACTTTTTGCATCTGTTGGTTGTGTGTCATTTTCACTTTTTGCATCTGTTGGTTGTGTGTCATTTTCTCTGTTTGCATCTGTTGGTTGTGTGTCATTTTCACTTTTTGCATCTGTTTGTTGTGTGTCATTTTCACTGTTTACATCTGTTGGCTGCGTGTCATTTTCACTGTTTGCATCTGGTTGTGTTTCAATTATATCATTTTTCTCTGTTGGTTGTTTTTCGATTGCACCATTTTCCTCTGTTGGTTGTTTTTCGATTGCATCATTTTCCTCTGCTGGTTGTTTTTCCTTGTTGTTATTTACATTCTTCTCTTGATGATCCTTTACATGTAGCTCTTTTGTATGTACCTTCTTTACATGATGTATCTCACTTAGATGTCTGTCCCTTTCCTGGTGTGTCCCCTTTGCATATACCCCCTTATGCGTCTCTTTTGAATTCATTTCATTATCATTGAGTGTCTTCTTGGGATGTGCTTCCTTTACATGATGTGTCTCATTTAGATGTACCTCATTCACATGGTGTGTCTTATGTGTAGGTGTCTTCTTTGTATGATGTTTTTCCTTTGGATGTGGATCCTTTGCATGAGTTTTCTCTTTTGAATGTGTAGCTTTTCCGTGCTTTGCCTCTATTGAATGTGATATCTTTTTATATATATATAAACAAGTCTAAATTGAAAACAACGTTCAAACCTATGATTGCGTTGGATAAAAACCGCAATTTTTATACGTGTGCATGCAAAACAAATTTCTTGCATTGGTATAAGGGTCTAAATACAGCACAAACAACATTTTCAAAAAAGACCAAATGAGTGAAAAAGTATATTTAAAAAAAAACGCATTTGACTAGCAGGTCGAACAACGGAAGTTCTTAAACCCTGCTGACAGCCTTTTGCGATTGCCAAATAAACGGATCACAAGATGTTACAAAATAGATCTTATTATTAATTTATTACCAAACAGAAAACAATAAACTTGCGGAAAAGATGGTATATCGGAAACATGAGGTGCAAACATTTGTACACCATATCCGGATTTCGACAATTAATGTCTCTTCAGTGATGTTAGGAAACGAAACGGTATTTGGAAGGCCATATAATTTACCTCAATTTAGGATAGACCCTTGAATTTTGAAAGAGTCAAAATAGAATGAACGGATCATATAAACCCGAATATTTATACAAGTCTAAATTGAAAACGACGTTCAAACCTATGATTGCGTTGGATAAAAACCGCAATTTTTATACGTGTGCATGCAAAACAAATTCCTTGGTAGAGGGGTCTTAATACAGCACACACAACATTTTCCAAAAGAACAAAAAAGTGAAAAAGTATAACAAAACGCATTTGACTAGCAGGTTGAACATCGGATGTTCTTAAACCCTACTGACTGCCATTGGCGATTGCCAAATAAACGTATCACCAGATGTAAAAAGTAAAATCACAAAAATACTGAAGACCGAGGAAAATTCAATCGGAAAGTCCCTAATCACATGGCAAAATCAAATGACAAAACACATCAAACGAATGGACAACATGTAACAAAATGGATCTTTACTATTAATTCAATACCAAACAGAAAACAATAAACTTGGGGAAAAGATGGTATACCGCAAACAAAAGGTGCAAAAATAAGAACACCATATCCGGATTTCGACAATAATGTCTCTTCAGTGATGTTAGGAATCAAAACGGTATTTGGAAGACCATATAATTTACCTCAATTTAGGATAGACTTTTGGATTTTGAAAGAGTCAGGATCATATAAACCCGAAGGCAAATATAATACAAGCCCAAACGAAAAAATATAAACAAGTCTAAATTGAAAACAACGTTCAAACATATGATTGCGTTGGATAAAAACCGCAATTTTTATACGTGTGCATGCAAAACAAATTTCTTGGTAAAGGGGTCTAAATACAGCACAAACCACATTTTCCAAAAGACCAAATGAGTGAAAAGGTATATTTTAACAAAACTCATTTGACTAGCAGGTCGAACAACTGATGTTCTTAAACCCTGCTGACTGCCATTGGCGATTGCAAAATAAACGGATCACAAGATGTAACAAAATAGATCTTATTATTTATTTATCACCAAACAGAAAACAATAAACTTGCAGAAAAGATGGTATACCGCAAACATGAGGTGCAAACATTTGTACACCATATCCGGATTTCGACAATTAATGTCTCTTCAATGATGTTAGGAATCGAAACGGTATTTGGAAGGCCATATAATTTACCTCAATTTAGGATAGACTAGTGAATTTTGAAAGAGTCAAAATAGGATGATCGGATCATATAAACCCGAATATATATACAAGTCTAAATTGAAAACGACGTTCAAACCTATGATTGCGTTGGATAAAAACCGCAATTTTTATACGTGTGCATGCAAAACAATTTCCTTGGTAGAGGGGTCTTAATACAGCACAAACAACATTTTCCAAAAGAACAAAAAAGTAAAAAAATATATTTTAACAAAATGCATTTGACTAGCAGGTCGAACAACGGCTGTTCTTAAACCTAGCTGACTGCCATTGGAGATGGCTAAATAAACGTATAACTAGATGTAACAAAATGGATCTTTACTATTAATTTAATACCAAACAGAAAACAATAAACTTGCGGAAAAGATGGTATACCGCAAACAAAAGGTGCAAAAATAAGAACACCATATCCGGATTTTGACAAGTAATGTCTCTTCAGTGATGTTAGGAATCGAAACGGTAATTGGAAGACCAAATAATTTACCTCAATTTATGATAGGCTCTTGAATTTTGAAGAGTCGAAATAGGATGAACGGATCATATTAACCCGAAGGCAAATATAATACGAGCCCAAACGAATAAATATAAACAAGTCTAAATTGAAAACAACGTTCAAACCTATGATTGCGTTGAATAATATACAAGTCTTAATTGAAAACAACGGTGAACTTATTCCCGATTGTGACTGTTTTGCTGAGTGTGAATTCGCATTGCTATAAGACGTGTCACGGTACTTTTCTATCCAAAATTCATATATTTAGTTTTGATGTTATATTTGTTATTCTCATCGGATTTTGTCCAATGTCTTATCATTTGTAGTTGTAAATCTTATTTTTTTTTCTGTTGTATTCTTGTGTTATGGTAAAGATAATTAATCATCCAGTTCATTAATTAGATTTTAGTTTGGGTCAACTAAATTACTACGATATATTTGGTTTACAGTTTGATTTAGAAGAAACACCGACATAGCTAGATAATACTATTAATTATCTAATTACTACCACATTTTATATTAATTAGTATTGTAATTTTCATTGTTATTAATAAATGTTATATGAGTATTATAAACCAAATCTTGAATTCTATCTTAATTCTATCCTATTTTGGGGAAATTTCAGAAATTCAAATGTGACGTCACCTTTTTTTTTGCGTTGATCACTTTGGCTAACTCGGCTGTGATTTTTTATGTGCTGGTTTATGTTGTTTTATGTATCCGTTTTTATTCTGTAGTTAGTCACCACTTCGGTGTTATCATGTATATCTATTATATAGTCAGTTTTATAAATTTACTGTTTGCAAAAGTATGAATTATTCTAAATACTAAGGATTTTCTTAACCCAGACATTTTGGAACTTTTGGTCCTCAATGCTCTTCAACTTTGTACTTGTTTTGGCTTTAGTACTTTTTTTATCTGAGCGTCACTGGTTAGTCTTGTGTGGACGAAACGCGCGTCTTGCGTATTAAATTTTAAACCTGGTACCTTTTGTTAGCTATTATTCGTATGTTTCTCTGTCCTATATGTTCTCCCATTTATTTGTATTGTATTCCTGTCATGTGATGTTGTCATTTTAATGTTATATTTAACATTGCCATAAAAGCGGGAGGTTTGGCTAGCCACAAAACCAGGTTCAACCCGCCATTTTTTTCTAAAAAAATGTCCTGTACCAAGTCAGGAAAATGGCAATTGTTATCATATAGTTTGTTTCTGTGAGTGCTGCATTGTCGTTTTTGTTTATTTGTGTATTTCTCTGTCCTGCATGTTCTTCCATTTATTTTTATTGTAGTCCTGTCATGTAATGTTGTCATTTTGTGTTATATTTAACATTGCCATAAAAGCGGGTGGTTTGGCTAGCCACAAAAACAGGCTCAACCCGCCATTTTTTTTCTTAAAATGCCCTGTACCAAGTCAGGAAAATGGCCATTGTTATATTATAGTTCGTTTCTGTTTGTGTTACATTTAAATGTTGTGTTTCTGTTGTGTCGTAGTTCTCTTATATTTGATGTGTTTCCCTCAGTTTTAGTTTTTTACCCGGATTTGTTTTTTTTCTCAATCGATTAATGAATTTCGAACAGCGATATACTACTGTTGCCTTTATTTATTCAAACCTATGATTGCGTTGGATAAAAATTTCAATTTTTATACGTGTGCATGCAAAACAAATTTCTTGGTAGAGGGGTCTAAATACAGTACAAATAACATTTTCCAAAAGACTGAAAAAGTATATTTTACCAAAACGCATTTGACTAGCAGGCCGAACAACGGATGTTCTTAAACCCTGCTATATACTTTTTCACTCTTTTGGAAAATGTTGTTTGTGCTGTATTATGTATATATATACTTTTTCACTCTTTTGGAAAATGTTGTTTGTGCTGTATTTAGGCCCCTCTCTCTCTATATATATATATACTTTTTCACTCTTTTAGAAAATGTTGTTTGTGCTGTATTCAGACCCTGTTTTGTGCTGTATATATATATGGTGATCCGATGGATAAAATCTGTCGTAGAGTTGTCACTGGTTCAGACGTACTTATAATATAATTATTTCTGTGACTGTATCCTACATTAATTTGTATGATCCTCTACGATAGATAATTCAGCTGATCTGTAATATTCCATCTTCATGCCTTATATATCATGTTCTGTGTTACGACGCTAGATAAAAACTGACAAGGAAAGGTAACACCCGGCCGCCAAAAGCTGGATTTTGTCGAGCCTAGGGTGTCGAGTGGTCCAGCGCGCCGGTCATAGTGCAAGGCGATTTGGTGCCACGATATCTCATTAGCATGAGTTCGAATCCCGACCAGGTAAGAACAAAAATTTGCTTCCGCAAATTTACAGATCTAACATTGTTGGGCTGTTATTTAGACGAATTATATATACAAAATATGTTTTCAGCCTTGTATCACCATCGATCACTGTTGATCCGATGGATAAAATCCGTCGTAGAGTTGTCACTGGTTCAGACGTACTTTTAATATAATTATTTCTGTGATTGTATCCTACAATAATTTGTAAGATCCTCTACGATAGATAATTCAGCTGATCTGTAATATTCCATCTTCATGCCTTATATGTCATGTACTGTGTTACGACGCTAGATAAAAATTTGACGAGGAAACTGACAGAATGTGTTTTCAGCCTTGTATCACCATCACTGGATAAAATCTGTCG